TTTTTTTGATAGATTATGTGATGCATATTAAAATATTATTTAGATCAATTTTATAGATTTATATTACGTAATATTTTGGTGGCAGATATTGAAATTGATTGTAAAGTGTGGTGATAAAGTGCAACGTGTTGTTTTATAATATGCAATGTGTTATTTGATAAAGTGCAACATCACATTATGTAAAGTATACTAATTTATACATTTCTAGATAAATTATGTGTATTCGCAAACTAATTTTATTATGTATAATTGTTGATCGAATTAACCTAAATAATTAAAATATTTTCTATTTATTATTTCTGTTATATACTTTATTTGTTACTATAAACTATTTTTATATATTGTAGTTTTTAATGTAAAAAAAAAGTAAATAAAAAGATGACTTCAAACCAAAATAATCAAGCTTTTTAGTGTAAAAAATAATCTAATCGAAATATAAAATTTTGAAGAAAATCTTTATTTTGATATTGTGCAATCACCAAATTATATAATTTTAGATTTTAAAGTATTATGTAGATTTGTTTTATAGATCTATGTTGTGTGGTATGTTGGCGGGAGCTATTGACGTAAGTTGTAGAGTGTTGCGATAAAGTGCAACGTGGTATTTTATAATGTGCATCTTGATGTTATATAATGTGCAACGTGTTGATATATAAAATTCACTACTTTATATGATCACATATAGATTATGTGTTTTTTGTAATTAGATTTAGTAAATATAATTGTGTATCAAATTAACCTAAATAATTGAAATTATTTATTATTATAAAATATATTTATTATTTTAATATTTTTTATTTATTAAATTTATACATATTAAAATTTTTAAACATTGTACATTTTATTTATTATTAATATGCATTTACATAAATGTGCACTCAAAGTGCAGTTTATTGTTTTTTAGTAATTTGTCTCAACCCAAAGTAGAATCGGATTAATTGATTTATTCGTTCGGTCAACCGAATTAAACATAGTGCAGTTGATTGGTTATTTATAAAATAAATGAATCCGTCATTGAAACATAATAATAAAATTTTTTTAAAGTAAAAAGTAATAACAGAATCGACATTTATAAACTTTACGAAAAAAACTATATATTCCAATTCATTCTTGGTACATTTGTTAGGTTAAAGTGCAATCTCAAATGCACAAAAGTGCAACATATCCGTCATTAAAGTGCAATATGTACAATATTATTTTAGTATTTTATATATTTTTTTATTATCAAAACTCATATTTTCTTTCAATAGATTAATTGCATTATATTATTTTTCATGTTATTTTAACATTTTGTATTATTTTATTTAATATTTCTATTTTTACTTTAATATTTTTTATTATATATTACCTTTTATAAACTTTTTTAAATTACAGATTTGGCACATGTACTCAATTGAAATTAATTAAATTTCTTGCAATTGCACATAGGTCCTTGTAAGTTGTCAAATTTTCAAAAAATAACCCCTTCATCCAAAGACTTCTGAACGATTGAAGCTAGACATTCCAGTCGGCGGTGCCACTGGAACTTCGAACGGAGTTGCGGCTAGGCGGAGGTGCGCCTGATACTCTGGACGGACTGAGGTGGTTGGAGGGCGGAGTTGGTGGAGGTTCGACTGTAACTTCAGTCGTGCTCGTCGCGAAGGGGGTGGAGATGGTCGGTAGGACAGTGAGGAAGGCGATTTTCGGTGGTTGGATGAGTTCGGCGGCGGCAGGCGGCGGTGTATGTGGTGGCCGGCGGAGGGGACGACCGCGCCTTTGTGTGTGTACAGTGTATGTATATGTCGTGTGTGTGAATAGTGTATATGTGTGTGTGCGCCGGTCGCCTGTGCAGTGTGTGTGAGTGTGTGTTTGCCGGTCACCGGTGTAGTGTGTGTGAGTGTGTGCGCAGGTATAGTGTGTGTGAGTGTGTGCAGGTAGTATGTGTGAGTGTGCGAGAGAAATGATGGG